TTCTCTTTTGGAAACCTGGCATTTGACCATTTCACAGGGTAGGCAAAAGGAGGATAATAAAGATAATGTTGGCGCGAATCACTTTTTTGGGGAGAGACTTTTTTTTGGCAGAATCAGGGTTTGCAAGAAGCAGATAAAACTTTGCTGTTGAAGAACCACTGACAGCCAGAAACAGCTGCATGCCAGCAAATCAGTACTTAACAAGACAGATCAGCTTGTTCTTAGCCAGGTAAGAGACAGAGTCAGAAATCCAGAGAGCTTTCTTGTTAGGCTGTAAATGAAATAGTTGTTTAGCAATTACCCTAAGACAGTAAATCTCTGTCTATGAAACCTCTTACTGATAAAATCTAAACTTGGTTTGCCCTCCTCATACAACACACATGCATATGCATACCAGCTACTACATAGCCTGTCGATATTTTATTCACATCACACTCCAAGGAGCTCACTGACTGGAATTCAATAGAAATTGGTCTCTGTGTGAAAGTAATTTCAGAAAGTAATCTAGTTTATGGAAATGAAAGGCATCAAAACACAAAAAAACACTGTTTCTGTACAAGTGCTTTGCTTCAAATATTTGACATGGAAATTTATATAATCCCTTTGGGGCACATGGGTTTCACGAGTGTTAACATCTTTTGAAATGAATTTCACAAATGTTTATTTGGAATACCAGGCATACAAATAATTTAGAATATCAAGGCATCTTGTTGAATCCGCCTTAATGACACAGATCTCAGATGGTTGGGAAGGTTAAAAGGTATGAATTTTAATTGGGTATGCGGAAGATGTCATTTTCAATCCTTGTAGTGCAGGCAGAGGAGAATATTGCTTTCAAATTCTAAGCTTTCCCATACAGCCACCTTGACTTTCTCTGTTACTTAAAGAATGAAATGCAAACATTTTTCACATGTTATGTAAGTGTGCGAGGAATGTATTAAATTCAGAAGTGGGCTTTGGACAAAGGCCTTAGACTTTCATCATCTGTCTTTCTCTAGGTAGGTTTGTACATGACCCATTCCCAGAAGTATTTATACCTCACCAACATTAAAGAATTTATCCTCATATGCCCTGTCAGATGGGACATGACTTTAGACACAGAAATTAAGAGACTTGCCCAAGACCACACAGGAAATCTGTGGCAGAGGCAGGAACTGAATCCAAGTCTCACACGTTAACTTTACAAGCAGCCTTCCACGCTATTGGGAGCACTGGTCCCAGCCTAGTTTAAGCCACAAGTGAAGCTAGTTTGATAGACACAATGTAGTTCTTAATTAATCACTCCTATTCAGTGCAGTTTTCATAGCGTACAGGAAAGAGGGCCTAGGATCACCCACTAAGGGTAAAAAGAAATGAATAGCTACCTATAGCACAAGCTCCATTCATCCTGTGCACCGAATGAGGCAGAGACTCTGTGGAAAAAATTATATGTGATCATGTAATTAAAGACTGTATCATAATGCATCTGCATAGGGAGGTCAAATTAAGATTGCACTAGAAACCTGACTGCTGACGTTGCCTAAGTTTTGAGTGTTTGCTTCTGCAACCATAATAGTCTTTTAATATCTTTTTTAATGTAATTTTCTATGTTGAATAAAAAGCAAACAACAAAAAACCCACAGAAATTCTATCACGTGGAACGATACTGAACCACCAAAATTTCATCATCCCACAGACCCCTCCCCCCTCACAGACCATGCACATTTGAGCTAATGAAATAGCTGGTAGCAGCAGTAGGCTGTTACTCTCATATGTAGAGCCACTACTCGAAGTTGACGAACCCCTTTTCTAGTGGGTGTCACGGCAGAGGAATGTTGAGACTCGGGGGGGTCTGTGTTCTACTCCAAGTTCTGATGGGGAATGTGCTCCAGGGGGTACCGACGTGGTTCTTTACCTGTTCCCCTTCTGCCCTTCTCCCCTTGTGTGGGGCAGATTGCACCCATACTGAGCATGCTCTGCCTCACAGATTGTTTCTTTCTCTCCCACTTTGCAGCCCGTCTCCGCCCCGTCTCCACTCCTCACCCCTCTGCATTTCACTGCGAGCTTCCTTGCTCTCCTCCTCCAGCAGTGGGGGAATTGAGAGCACAGGATGGAGCCGCAGAACATTTGCTCTCAGTTCCTGGTGCCAGAGTAGCCCCTGGCTGCCAGAAGGTGCAAGGGAGGAAAAGTTCTGCTTACCCTGGAGAGGGGCAGAGAGCTCAATGGGGATGCAATCTGCAGAGCCTTCAGCTCTCCTTACAAGCACTTACGAAAAGTTCATAACCTGGCCAAACATGGGCTGATTTCTACAAGGCTGCAAAGAGCATCCGACTGCCATAAAGGCAACCTCGCCACCAAATTTCAAGTCCGTGCACTCCAAAGCACGGACGTGCCAGAGCTCATTAGCGAAACAACAGCAAGACATTTTTAACCTATTCTCCGCTGGCTTTGTTCTGAGCAACAGTTGAACTCTGGTAGCTGAAACTTAAATAAGAATCGAATCCAATCGAATAATCAGCAGAAGGCAGGCACAGAACGTGGAAGTATGGGAAAGTTAAAAGCAACTGGGTCTTATAATGGAAAGTATTAGAAACACTTCGCTAAAGGTGGGGCTCACAGCTAAACCTACATTTTTTTCCCTCACAGTGAGTCTGATTCTGATGCCAAGTTAATCAGGAATCTCTCTACCAAAGTCCAGGGGGTTGCACACCCTGTGAAAGCCACACAAGATCAGAGTCAGGCCCAAGTTGTGCAGGAGACAGGTGGGTCACAAGGTTCCCTTTGGCTTTTCTGCTTCAGTTTCCCATTTGTTATTCCCCAATCCCCACCCCCACACCTCTCTAGGCATTCATAGCATGGTACGCGAGCACACCCACCCACTCCCCAATTCTGAAACTCCCCTCTCATTAAGTCAGCCAGCAAAGAACACAAAGGCCTCTGTTTTGCTTCAGTCCCTTTTATGAATAGGTGGAACGAATGATAAGCAGAGGAAGCAGGAAGGAAAGTTGTCCAAAATGAGGCATCCGTTTTCCTCAGGGAAAGGCTTTTCAAATCCAAGCTTGTACTTCCCCATCCCCTAAAGCCGCCATTTCAACCTCCATTGTTGTGATCATGACATTGGTTGTTCCCTTGCAATTAGAGGTGGGGACCCTTCATCCCAGGGGCTAGATTCAGCCACTGGCTTGCCTGGATCTGGCCCCCCAGGCTCAGAGTTCCCCTCCCTGCAATATTGGGGAGCCAGTGCTGGTACTCCAGCCATATGACCCACCCAGCCCCAGCCTGCTGCTGCACCCCCACTCCTGCACCCCACCTCTCGCCCAGCCCTCCCCACTCCTAACCTGCTCCTGCACCTTACCATCCTCCCAGACCCACCAACCCCCCACACCTCAAGCCTGCTTTCCAGCAGCCCCTCCCACACAGAACCCCTCATTTTTGTCCCCACCCCAGAGCCGGGGCAGGGGTGGGGGAGTGTCACAATATCCATTAGCCTTCCCCCCTCCCTCCCAGGCTCTGGTGTGTGAGGGAAATGTCTTTCTCCTTCTCACTCTGGGGCCACATCCATGAGATTTTGTTGTGGTTGTTGTTTGGGTTTTTATTTAGTTCTCACTTTTGTGCAACCTCCGACTGATTTTTTTGTGGGACTGCCCAGGAAAGGTTCCCCACCCCTGAACAAGGCCCTCTCCGGAAACTAGAAACTATAAATTATCGGGGCAAGCTTCAAAAGTAGATTCATTAGCAGTGCAGCAATAGCAGCATCTATTGGGAGAAAAAAGCAAGATCGTTTCAGGTAAATGTGGATGACTTGTCCTGTACGGGGACAGACAAACAGAGCTTCAAAGGTTGCATAGCATCAGAGTGAATAGGCTGCAAGGGGTTTTATTCACCACTAACTCGGCAAGCTAGGCTATGAGACAAGTTTCCGTTGCAGAGCTGGGTGAATTACTGTAGTTCCTAGAAGTTGCATACATCAGTCATTTCCTTCCCACGGCCAGTGATAAAAACGCATCCCTATGTTCCTCCTGTGAGCTAGCACCCTGACTCAACCAGAGAAGCACCCACATGCTGTGAATAGATTTAAATAAGATTTGGATTCACTGGTGACCAATCACATTTGCAGTTATGGAAGGCAATTTTTTTTTTTAAAGTGTAATTGAAGCTCCTGCTACAGAGTGTAAACTGATCCGCCACAGACAGCATTGCTGCATAAGTTCTTGGGGAGGGGATGTTTGTCTTTTCCTGAAGTATCAAGTACTGGCCACTGCCCGAGGCAGAATAGTGATCTAGAAGGCTCAATTTTCTGATATGGCAGGTTAAATTCTTTGGGGGACGTGGGGAGAGAGGAAGATCTGTCATTCAAGAGATTGGTTCCCACAGTCATGCCAGTTTCCATTGTATTTCACTTTTCGGAGCACCAAAAGTTTATTCTTCTAACTGTCTACTGGCTTTTCATGTACATTCAGATCTGCTTCATCCATCAGTAAATGCAATTTTACTTCAGATTAAAAAGGATTCAAATTAAGAACTGAGTGATAGCCAGAAACTGGAAGATAGTGCTTACGTCTTGTGAACCGTTACCACACAAAGCCTTCCGATGCTCAGGCAATAGCATTATCATGTGCATCTCTAAAGGGTTCAATAACCTCAATTATTTAGAATCACAGATCCTAGGGCTGGCAGAGACCTCAGGAGCCCATCAATTTCAGCCCCCAAAGCAAGACCAATCCCAACTAAATCATCCCGGCCAGGGCTTTGTCAAGCCACGACTTAAAAACCTCTAGGGATGGAGATTCCACCACCTCTCTAGGTAACCCGTTCCAGTGCCTCACCATCCTCCTAGTCAGTGAAATAGTTTTTTCCTAATATCCAATCTAGTCTTCTCCCACTGCAACTTTGGTTATGGTTACACTCATGATATGCTAATATGCAAAAGGAATGGTCCTAGCTCTGTGAGGTCATAGTCTAAGACCAGGACTATACTGGAGGCAAAGTAAAACTAAGGTACCCAACTCCAGCTACATGAATAGCATAGCCAGTCAACGTACCTTAAGTTCGACTTACCGCAGCATCCTCTACTGCGGGGGTGGAGGGTCAATGAGAGAAACTCTCCTGTCAACTTCTACTGCTCATGACCCGTTGGAGTACTGGTGTCGATGAGAGCACAATCAGCAGTCGATTTGGTGTGTCCTTTCTAGACCAGTTAAATTGATCCTCCGGGAGACCGATCTTCACAGCATGGATCTCCCAGTAAGTGTAGACAAGGCCTAACAACAGACTGATAAGGAGACAGGGCAAGTGCAGGAGAACAACAAGGGGATTCTTATACATTAGCTTTAACCACCAGGCAGCACTGGAGAAGAGGGTCTCAAAGAAGGCTTTAATGTGGACTTGGCTGAGGCCTTTATGATGAGCTCAGGGACATGGTACCATGCCTAGGGGGCTGTGGGGAGAAATGCACAGTGGGGATGGCACTGAGACAGGGGAGCAAGGGTAGAATCACTGGCAAAGTGGGTGGGGGCACGATGCCAGGCTCAGCGTGGACTGATGTGGGGGGGTTCGGAGTTATATGGAGATGCAAAAGTAGGGAGGAGTTGCATGCAATAGCAGATTTGGATCCTCAGTTACCCAGATCTGAAAGAGACTCACATTGGGCAGTTTCTGTTAATATATCACTGTCCCACTCCTCCAGCATGGGACTGGTCCAGTAGCACCCATGTCATTCACCCAATCACAGCTGTCCCACAGTCAGAGTGGATTTGCCTCATTGATGGTGGTTGTTGGGATTCATCCCACGTGCACATCTGGAACACACTAAGGCCATGTTTTTACTATGTGGAAGATCGACACAGCCACAATCGATCTTCCAGAGTTTGATTTAGCAGGTCTAGTATAGACCTGCTAAATCAAACTCAGGGGCACCCCTGTCAAGGCCAGTACTCCTGCTCCTTGTAAGGAGCCAGGGAAGCCAATGGGAGTGTTTGCTGTGGAGGCCGCATGGAAACTCCAATGAAGGTATGTCGACTCCAGCTATGTAATTAACATAGCTTTAAGTGGATATTTTAATTCAACCTTCCCACGTAGTGAAGACATGGTCATAGCCATGAGGCATGGAAACCATTCAGGCTTATCATCATTGATTATCATCACTGAGATGCAAACCATTTTGATCAAAAATCTAAACCCCAAATGGGAAGATTGGGGGATTTTTTTCTTCCCATTTTGTAAAAAAGCAAAATGTACCCAGCAGAGTCAGCTGAACTCAGTGCAAGCTCCTCCTCCAGCTACTTTCCCTGCAGTGGCCGGAAAATTGAGGGGCGTGGGCCTGGTTTCACATTCTGATTCAGGATCTTTCCCCTGTACAGGAAGCTTGCAGTTCCTGCTGTCTCCTCCCAGTGCTGTTGAGATTTCCATCCCATCGGTACTGCAAGCCTCCTTTCCCCTGGAAGGGGGCACCTTGGGGCTTTGGGAGAAACCCATGTGCCCTCTTCATTCTCTGCAGGCAGGAGAGATCCCATGAAGTCTTGTCTTTTACAGTATAATGACAGCGGGCAGCTAAGCTAGGGGTGGAACTGGCCACTTCCAGCACTAAAAGCATGAGTGGCTCGGCATGAAGGAAAGAGCCAACCTCCTCTAATTACGGCTGTAACAAGCTCATATCCCCTGTGGATTGGGCACAGAGGAGCCAGTGCCTTACAAATAGGGTTGCCAGGTGTCCGGTTTTGAACCGGACAGTCCAGTATTTGAGCTTTCTGTTTGGGAAACAAATTGAGAAAATAGAAATGTCCAGTATTTTCTAAATCAAATGTAATGTCGATTGTGATGTAATGTCAAGTGTGTCCCGTATTTTTGTTAAAACCGTCCAGCAACCCTACTTACCAAGGCAAGTTGGGGTTTCCTTCATAATGCACATCCCAGCACACACCACTTGCTTGTATTTCACAACATCCCTTAGCGTCCATCCCTGTGAAATTAAAGGCTGCCATGTGAAGAGCAGGCAGGCAGAGGAAATGTTCAGACTATATATGCTCACACATGGCATTCTGGGATACAAGCTGCCTGCCAAGAAACACCAGAGAGCCCGTACATGTTTGCAGAAAGGTCTGCAGGACTCAGACAAGTGGGTATTGGATACTGCTGGGCTAGGAGGCGCCAATACACCCAAACCCCTACTGCCTCCATGATGGCAGTATCTGAGCACTTCACATAAGACCAGCCATACTGGGTCAGAGCAAAGGTCCATGTAGCCCGGTGTCCTGTCTTCCGACTGCGGCCAATGCCAGGTGCCCCAGAGGGAGCAAACAGAACAAATAATCATCAAGTGATCCCTTTCCTGTCACCCATTTCCAGCCTCTGACAGAGGCTAGGGACACCATTCCTACCCTCCTAGCTAATACGTATTGATGGACCTGACCTTCATGAATTTGTCTAGTTCTTTTTTTGAACCCTGATAAAGTCCTAGTCTGCACAACCTCCTCTGGCAAGGAGTTCCACAGGTTGACTATATGCTGCGTGAAGAAATATTTCCTTTTGTTTGTTTTAAACCTGCTACCTATTCACAATCTTTAATGTTTCTCTACACACAACAGCATTTTGAGTGGGTGCTACTATAGGGAAATGAGTCATGCAAAGGCTAAGCAACTTGGCCAAGTCTCACAGGAAAAGAGGAAGATCTGAGTTCAGTTCAAGATCCATGCTAGGTCCCTAATCACTGGATCATCCTTCCATCCTGTAAAACACATCTATTGTCTACTAATAATGTATCTATTCTCAGGCAGACAATTCCAATGTTTCTCTTTCATGAAAGAATTCACACTGGAAAAGAACAGTCTCACCAGGAGGCTGGTAGCTATTCAAATTACTCACCAGAAGACAATGGTTAATTACCAAACTCCATTTGACTATTGACTTTGTTTCTCTCCTTACTATTTGAGGGATACTTTTTGGAATTCAAACATACTTTCCTTCCTGTTTATATATCCCTGTCTGTCTGATATCACTCTGGCATTACAATCAACATTCCTTTATGCTTTATCATTTGAATGCCAGTTTGTGCGAACACTCGTTAAAAGATTGTATCTGCAGCTTTTCATTGTATAAGCGCACACACAAAACCCAACCATAACCAGCATCCAGTGGATTGTTTGCAAAATCATTTATGTTCTAAAATGCAATCAACTATATTGGATGTAACATTTGTGGGTTGACAATATAAAAGGTAAGCTTGGGGCCTCCAATTTCCATAAAAAACTATTTTTATGGCATTTATAAATATTAATATGGAATACAAATCAAGAACAATACATAACAGTAATGAGAATCACAAAATCCCATCATATTTGACACTGTCATATCACCAGCTTAAGGATTAGAAGGTGAATTTTGGAGTTAAAAATATTGCTTCCCAATACGAACAATAAAAATCAGAATTAAAAAAAAACCAGCTCCTTGTTTCATTATATATTCCTGACGGTTTACTTCTTATTCTGGAGTTTACAGGATCATTGCTTTGCATGCATATTTTTGGATGACACGGTTAAAGAGCTGACCTGAGAATGAGGAGGGAGGTTTTCTTATCTGCTTTCATTCTTGCTGAAGGCTTGCTTAGCCTGGCTTTGTTTTGTGCTAACCCCTGACACTGACAAAGTCAAAGGCCTATCAAGTACTGCCTGCATTTCAGCAGGTTTTTTATACATACACGGAAGCTTCATTTTAAATGATAAAGTTACCCCAGGTGTCAGTTTTCGCTACTATTTCTAAATACATCTGGTTGTGGAGGAGGTGGGGGGAGGAAGCAGCAATTTCATTGAAAATCCGAGCTATTGAGATCTAATCACTACTTAAGCTCTGGCTTTATTCAAATTTGGATCACCAATAGGGCTTGAGATGTAAATGAAGCAAAGAGAAATAAAGCAAGAAAAAAATCGATGATAGAACCCTTCCTTCAGCTATTTGATTCCCAAGTCCTTATCAGTCAATTAATGCATACTAAAACTTCAGCGGCAGCATCCGTTTAATAGACCTAATAGCTACAGCCCCAGGCATTAGCCAAACAAAACACACTTTCAGTAGCCTTAATATGAGACTGAAAAAGGCCAAAATAGACAGACTTTACAGCATCAATCCCAAAGATCCATTCTAATTTCCACTCAGAGATCTCTTAAGCAGTTCTTGGGTGCTCTTTATGATACTTTGAACCATGCATAGTTTCATTAAAACTTTGGGGCTTGGTATTTTTAAACCTGAGAGCTTCACTAAACTAGTTTTCAAAATGTTAGCTAAGCCGCTATGCATAAAACTACTTTACTGTCATGGTGTCTTCTAATACCGCCTACGTGCAGGCTGTGGCAATTTTGAAAATGAACCTTCTCTACATGCACTAGATCTCAAACTTGGGGGAATTTTTGCTCTTGCATTTGAAGGATGGCTGACATGCTGTCTCTCCCCACCCCATGCCACCCCCCCCCTTCCTGAAATCTAACACTAAAATTATCTGCTGTACCTTATTTGTTCTGGAAGCAAGTTACATAGAACTTTTATCCACTGTGGTTTCCAATTTCAGGATTAACATTAGATGCCAAAAACTGCCTAGAAAAAAAATAAATGGTGGTTTGAAATCCAGTTTAATGATGGCAGAACGTCCAAAGAAAACAAAAGATGTTCCCCCCTCTATCCCAAATCATGGCATGTTAATAAATCCAATTTCCCTGCAATGGATAAAACCCTTCTTCCCAGAGAACGCCCTTTGCTCCCCTGAAAACAATGTGCAACTTGAGGGTAAGGCAACAATTTTCTTTCTTTCTTCCAGTGCTCACACAGGGCTTGATTTCTTTAGAAGCTTTTGTGGCCAGTTTGCATTGCAGCAGCTAAGAGAATTATGGCCAAAGGATTTTCAAAGAAGCGGAGCTCAGTTTTCAAGAGAAAAAAATAAACAAAGGATTTACTCAAAAAACCTAACGCTGCTCGCACTAGAGTTAATAGTAAAACTGCAATTGGCTTCAATGGAGGCCACTGATTTCAATGGGAGCAAAGTTCAGGCATTGGAAAAATCCCATCTCAAAACAGCCATGTAACCTGCCTGCTGTTCCAGTTAGGTAGGTAGGTGACTACTACAGGTCTACCAGACTAGCAGACATTTGAGATGAGACTTTGGGCTTGTTGACAAAGGGACAGCCAGGAAAGTTAATCCGAATTAACTAAAGATATGAATTTGAAGTGGTTTAGTTAAACCACATTAAATCCCTGTGTGA